TTTATCCAGGGCTTGCACTGAGTCATATGAATTATATTTCTAGCACTTAAAAAAAATTATTTTGAGACAGGCTCTTGCTAAGTCACTAAAATGTCTAGACTGGGCTCAAAGCTGTGATCTTCCTACTTGCAGTGTTGGGACTATAAAGTATATGCCAAAACATAAAGTATATGAAAAAATTATTAGATGAGAGGAAGGAAATGAGGAGGGTGGAGGGGATGCAGGGCTAGGCAGTATGCACTGGATACCATCAAAATGTTACATGCATATATGAAAATACCATATTTAAACCCAATATTTTGCAAAATTAACACATACTAATAAAATACATAAGAAATTTACAACTCTAGGTATCTATGTTTAAAAATCTCTAATCTTGGGGCCGGGGAGATGGCTCAGTGGAATAATCGCTTCCTGGCAAGTGTAAGGGCCTAAGTTCAATCCCCAGTTTAAAAAAAAAAAAAAACTCTAATCTTCCACCTTAAGAAACTAGGAAAAGAACTAAATCCAAAACAATCAGAAGGAAGGAAATAAGATTAAAGCACAAATGAACTACAAAATAGAAAACAATAGAGAAAATAAAAAGTTGGTTCTTTGACATGAATGACCAAGAAAAAAAAAAAAAAAAAAGACCCCTGTTAACTAAAATCAGGAATGAAAGAAGAAAACTACCAACATAACAGAGTTAAAATATCTGCATTTTTCAAGGGTGCATGGGGATGAATTGGAGGCTCTTTGGTGAATTTTTTAAATGAAAAAGATTTGGAAATTTCAAAATTTCCTCCTGTGAAAGAACATATTTCCTGGCAGGGCACAATGGCGTATACTTGTAACCCCAGCACTCTGGAAGGCTGAGGCAAAAGGAATGCAAGTCTGAGCCTACCTTGGGCAATTTAGCAAGACCTTGTTTCAAAATTAAAATTTTAAAAAAGGGTTACGGATGTAGTTCAGTGTGAAGACTCTGAGTTCAATCCCCAGTACCACACAAAACAAAACAAAACATTTTCTGATCGATATTCTCCAGTATCACACAAAGAACAAACTCTACCTGTCAGGGCTGGAGAGATGGCTCAGTGGTCTAAAGCACCTACTTGAAACAAGCTTGGCAAAGCACAGGGACCGCGGTTCGATCCCCAGTACCACATGCCAGCCAG